CTGTTTTTCATGTCTCCTCAAAGACTGAAAGTGTAGGAATCCCTCAGGTTGAGTGCAGTGTAGAGAGTAACACGCCCCTCCCCCTCCTGTTGTGCGAGCGAGCGGTCAGTCACGTGTGTGCAGGACGGCCGAACTTAAGGAGCTTCCCCTGGAGCTTACGCGATCGGCAACCGGCCGTTTTTTGTCTTATTGCAAGCAACTCGTCTCTGTTCTGGACTTGCACAAACTGCGTTGCAATGCAATCGTTTTCCAAAATGTAATTTATGTGAAAATATGAAGTCTGTAAAAGCCCGTTAACACAGGCCAGAGACGCTGAAGACGGACGCACAGAGAAAAATACTGTAATAGGCAGATCACTCACTGTTCATGATGCACGAACTATTGGAAGAAAATCCTCAATATTGATTTGGGGGTTTATATGAATGTGTTTCTGAGGGGAACTGACTGTCTTCAGAAAAGTTTATGTGGTATTTTCTTTTAGTCTCTTCTCTGTATAGTTCATATTAAAGCAGTGTTTCAGTGCAGCTGTTTACAGCGGTAACCAAGGAAATGCTGTATCTGGTGTTCCAGAAGCGCCTCCTGCTCTCAGAGAGTGAATCTGCATCTAATTCAGAGCTTCTGCTGTTTGCATCGTTCAGGCATGTAGTATAATTTCACAAAGCTAATCAGAACATTCTGTTTTTGCTTCAAATTGGGTTATTATTAAATCAAATTATGTATGTGAAATTATATAACTAAATGATATGAAATGATATAAATGATATGTACTGTATATGAATTATATAACTAAAATTAAATAACTGTAATTACAGATTTAGGTTAAATAAAGATGTCAGTTTTTATTTTTCTTCTTTTTAGGAAACAAATCAAAGAAAAAATAAACACATTCCACTGTTCCTAATATTCTGTATGTTGCTCAAAAACAAAATATATTGTGTTCAGCGGGAAAAAAGTTAGTTTTTTTACCCAGTCATTTAAAAATAACACATTTTAGAGCTGTATCGACAATACTGTGATACTGTGAAACTGTGATATTTTTGCTTAAGGTTATCATACCGTCAAAATCTCATACCGGCCCATGCCTGTTATTTATTTATTTATTTTTGCATTCACTAATAAAAAGATTATATCATTTACTAGCTCTACACTGCACGGCTGCTTTATAGCAGAAAATCAAGTTGTAGGCTAATTCTAACTGAAAGCGAGACTGACACGGTGAGACTGTTTTTCTTGTTTAATACTGTAAAGCTGCGTGCTTTAAAGGGTTAGTTCACCCAAAAATGAAAATTCTGTTATTAATATTCAACAAATCGTCTCCTCCGCTTCACCCTAGCGCCATTTTGGAGAGTATCCACTGAACGCGTGGTGCAGCTGACACAGAACAGCGTACACTGTTTGCGTTCAGTGGATACTCTCCAAAATGGGGTTAGGGTGACGCGGAGGAGACGAATTATTGAATAAAGTGTTTTTTTTTTTTTTCTTTGCGTACAAAAAGTATTCTCGTAGCTCTCATAGCTTCGTAACATTATGGTTGAAACACTGATGTAACATGGACTACTTTGTCAATCATCTTGGTACTTTTCTGTGCCTTGACCGTGGTAGTTCCCTTGCGGTCTATGGGAGGAACGACACGAGGGTGGGTAATTAATGACAGAATTTTCATTTTTAGGTGAAAAAACAATTTTGTTCCCTTTA